TCTTGCATTCATCTTCTTCGTTGAGACTGTGTGTTCCTAGTGTGTTTAGAAATTCTAATCACTTACTTACTCTGCTTTGCTCTTAATAATATTTCCGCTGCACTTGAATTGTTTTAGAGCTTATTTAGAGTATTAGATCAATACCAAAGTTGAATTCAGATCCAACAGACGCAATGTCCACAATACCTGGATTTAGTCAGATACAATTTGTAGGATTTTGTAGGTTCAGGGATGGCTATATTTCTGGGAGAGAACTCCTGTAACAACCCCAAACACCATATTTGCATATAACACATATTCATTAAATAGAAATATAGTTTACATCACATGGTCCCACTAGTACAAGGATTCTTATATGTAGAAAATGTACATATGAAAAATTCCAAAACAAAATCCTGTACTATCACATGTAATACAACATGTATTATCCAAAATAAGCAATCTCAAGCAGATCTTCAAAAGCAGATATCAGATTAGGAAAAATAATCACATTTTCCCTTTCCCCCTGTTCCTGCATTGCATATTTTTAAAACAGAAAATGAGGGTTAGACCAGAAGGGTATAGTCAGTAAATCCCTTCTTTGCAAAATGCAGGATGATAAAACACCAAAATATAATAAAAATATCTTTGCTCAGATATATTTGCAATTCAATCAGACAATGCAGTTTTCAATGATATGAATAACGGGATAAACTTAATAACATTAATTCCTGTTATTAAAATACATCTGCTTAAAGATTCAATATTCCCAATATGAAACAAATATTGTAACCAAAGCTTCTTTGAATTATCAGACCATTCTTTTGTAAATTTTAACAGAAAGCTTAAGGCAATACTTGCCTTTTATGACAAACCATTTTTCCCTTCTCAATAACATCTAAATTATTATTTCTAATAGGAATAATATCTCTATATCATCAGGTCATAAAAAAAGGACGACTCAAAGTTATTAAATCCAATTAGTAACAATAATATGAGTTATAGTACAATCCACATATGACAATGCCTCCCTTATTCCAAGTACACCTCTCCTTGATATGCCACTCTTATTCCTCCATCAAAACAGGGCTACTTATCAGAACAGACAAAAGTCACCACGCCTGAAAGTACCCATTCCCAATTCCAAGCCAGAACAGACAAAAGTCACCACGTCTGGGGGAAGTATCTCTTAAAACAAAATTCATACCAAAACAGACTTATGTCACCACGCTTGGTAGAAACAGTTGACAAAAATACAATTCCATACCAAAATAGACATACATCACCACGCTTGGTAGGAATGTTTCCTAAAATATAGTTTTATACCAAAACAGACTTACATCACCACGCTTGGTAGAAACATATATTTTTATTAAAAAAGATATAAAAATGCACCCTTTTTATAAATACATAATTTTAAACCCAATAATATTTTATCAAATTAAAAATTCCAAGAAGGCCCAATACTTGAAATTTCCATCATATAAATGTCCAAAATGCTCAACACTTCAAAATTATCAAATAAAAGTCACTCGAATAAATTTATCCGGATAAACAATCCAGACAAGCCTTTTGTCCGATTTACAAATCCGGACAAATACTTGGAAGAATTCCCTTGAATCCGGATGACCTTGAGTGATTTAGCTCTAACCCGGATAACCCTTGACCAATTTAAAAGTAAGCCGGATAATACTTGACCGTATTCATACTTCTCCGTTCAAAATCTTTATCCGGTTTATATAATTAGAATCTTGCTAACTAATTAAAACACACAACACTTGACCGGTGTATAGTTAAATTGGACAACACATATCCGGTTAAAAGACAATCCGAACAACATTGTGTGATAACCGGATCCTGGTTATTACCCAAGGTAATTAATGTGTSATTATTTGATAAGTGATTACGCGATAGCATGATAAATTTGTTATATTTGATCATGCTAGTGTGTGAAAATTTTGTGCATAAATAATGCAAGTAGGCATAATATAAAACACATGCATGAGAGGGCATGTATGTGGTATATGCATAAAATTTTGTATACATGTATATGATGATGTTTTCATCGGGGTAACCGACTTTCTTTGTAATTGCATAACTAGATTATGTAAACTTTTCATTTTATTTTGAAAATTTGAATAATTTGACTGTTGTCTGGATTAGCCCTAAACCGAACAAGGGTTGGGCGATTTAAGACTTAAACAACGCAAGTGTTGAACGATATAGTTTTAAACCGAACCAAGGTTGTGCAATTTAAGGCATAAATCGGTCAAGGGTCGAGCGACATATGTCAAGCGGATTAGACCTAAACAGGATGAGCGTTAAGCGGTTTACTCCTAAACCGGGTGAGGGTTGAACGACTTAAGTCATAAATCGGATAAGGCATGGGCGTTTTATAAATAAACCGCCTGGTGGATTGACCAGATTAGATTAAACCAGTCAAGTGTTGAGTGATTTATGAATATTGAAATTATGTTGAATATTTTGAACGGAGAAGTATGAATACGACCATGTGTTGACCGGATTATTTTAAATCGGACAAAAATGAGGCACAGTTTTGTCCGGATTTGTTATCCGGACAAAAGTGTTGAAATTCTCTTAAGTGTTAAATTGGACAGGCCTTGGGCGATGTGTTGTTTGGATTTGGTAAATCGGCCAAGACTTGACCGAAGATGAAGTCCGGCTAAGTCTATGTTGACTGGATTTGCATTATGACTTGCGCATGGTTTATATATAATTGTTTTTGTATATATAAAATGGGAATTTTGATAAAGATGATTTTGAACTGATAATTCCATTGACTGCAGTCTAAATGGAATTGTTTGGCATATCAAGGAGAGGTGTACATTTGGATATAAGGGTGGCATTGGTATRTATGTGTTTTATAACTTCTACTATCATATCCCTTATGATTACTGGGGTCTAGAATCTTTATTTCTTTGTGATTTAAAGATTTAGGATCAGAGTTCTTATTGGAAATCATAGTCTGAATGTTATAGAGAAGGGGATAACAGGTTGGGCCTGAAGCTTTGTATAAACCTTGTTTGAATGAAAAGGTTTAAAACTGGCACTATGTTAATTTGGTTAATATAACTTGTCTGGATTTAATGTATTATTTACAAGCAAAGATTATTGGCTTGACAGGTGAAAGGTATTGATATCGTGTTCTCACTAGTTCATATATTTGTTATATATATATATATATATATATATATATATGAAAAGTTGTTATATTTAAAAGTTTTGGTGATTTTCACCCTGCAATAACATAAATAGGGTAACTCATTAGACCTCTCGGTCTAACCCTCATTTTSTGATTTTAAATATGTACTGCAGGAAGTACTGAAGGTAATGGAAAAGGGAAAATGTGATAATTTCCCTATATGTTTACCTACATGAAGAATGGATGATGATATGTATAATTTTGGTAGATGAACAAGTATTAGTACAAGAATTTGTATTTTGAATTTTTGGACCATGCATTTTATACTGGTAGATTATTGTATTAAGGGACCAATGTGGGATATAAACAAGTATTTCTTTTGTATGAAGTACGTGTTACATGCAATGTGTGGTATGGGGCGTTACACATTGTGTCCGGTTAAACTTAATCYGGTTACCWCTTTTGTCCGGATAACCTAAATCACACCAAACCAATATGAAGAATAATTAGCAGTTCTTTCTAAAATAATAACCAAAGCTTTTAAAAGAGTATTTTAGAAATCACTCACCTTATGAGAAGTCGCAGTTTTGAAGAAGATTGCAAAACTTCTTTGAATATCCGGACAACTCTTCTCAAATCACTCTCAAGATTTCAAAAATGGCAAGAGCTTTGAGTAAAAACTTTACTCTCATATTTATACCTTCCCTTTTTAGGAAAGTTGGCCAACAGGCCCTCACCCACATGCATGTCTTTACATTACTTCACACACACACACACATATATCTATACTACATATATAACCATTTAGACCATTATCTTAATTACAACTTCTAAAGCATAAGTTACAACCATTTTATGCAACAAATTCCAAAAACTCTTAATCACAAGTCATAAAGCATGGTGTACAAGCTCTTTATGCAAATGTTTCCTAAACCCCAAATCCTAATTGGGTCAAACCTCCTTTCTCTTATCAGACTTATGTAATTACCTATTTGGGCCGCTACTTTCTTCTTCTGTATTAGATGTATGCCACCAAAACCATTTTGGCTTCCTTCTTCTTCCTCTGTAATTTTTCTCATGTGCGACCAAAACCATTTTGGGTTAGATACAGATACCTTTCTTCTTGACAGACCTCGTTTCTCTTGACAATGGTGGTTTTTATGTATCACAACCTCACCGATTTTGACGATTACTTTTTCCCAAGCAGCGGACGATTCTTTTTTGCTAAGCAATGATTCATGCATTCATACTCTCGAGATGCAGGTTTTATTTGTGGGTATCACTCCTGTTCTCATACGCTCCTCTCGCTCCTCTTGATGATGACATAAATTAGGTATACAACCTATTTAGGTTTGGTTTTGTTCCTCTTGCTTCTCTAGTTGATTTCATATCGATTCATACTCTCCAACACAAATCAGGTACAATATTGATATAGGTTCGATTTTGTTCCTCTCGCATTTTTGTTTGATTTCATATGGATTCATACTTCTCCAACACAAATCAGGTATACCATTGAAATATCTCTGTTTTTATTCCTCTCGCTTCTCTATTTCAAAATGATATTGATTTGTTTTTCAATTTAGATTTCTGCAACCACCTTTACTGATGATATTTTAATTTCCTTTCTCTTCTTTTTGGGTGCTGTTAAATCTCCCACAAAGTGTGGTATTGTTGGTATTCAAGGGATTGCTTGGGCTTTTGGGTGTATGATCTTTGCCCTTGTCTACTGCACTGCTGGTATCTCAGGTATATCTCTCTCTCTCTGTATACATATCTATACTATCTTATAATGCATTTGGCTCAAACTCTTGATCTCTTAAACTCTTAAACTCTTAAAAACAACTTCTATTGCTCAAATTCGATTGAGATGATATCGACTCCAACAGCTAACCCAATTCGATTGAGATGATATCGACTCCAACAGAGATGAAATCGACTTCAACAGACTCTCCCCTATCGATTTCAAGATTTTGATGAAATTGATTGTCTTCACTCTCCCCTATTAATTTCATCGGTTCCATCAGATTACGATTGAGATGATATCGACTCCAACAGACTCTTCCAGATGCGTATATATTTGACATATCAGGTGCTTCAGACGCAGCCTGATTTCGTTCACCAATTTTACAGCGATAGGAGCACGTTAGTGGTAATATTTYGTTTCCCCTTTGTAGTCTGTACTTAAGCTCACATTACTGGGTGTGGCTGCAACACTGAACTCTTCATAGCTCAATTCCTATGTTTATCTATATCTTCTCATCAAGATGGTTTGGCTTGATTTTAGAATTCATTTTGTTGTTATTTGGTTATCTGCTCACATCCCTAATTAAGGATGCTTTGATGTTTTGTGTTTCAATGTTTATGTATTTTCCAACTTCAAATTTACTGTTTGTCACTATCCAGTAACTCAAAGAAATCACATCCAAATTAGATGACTTATTTGCTTTTTGATCTTTGGTAGAGATTGTAGTTGATAAATTCCATAATAGTATACAAAGCCAACACTTTAGGTTATTGTCATTTTCAAGAGTAGATGTAGTCATTGTGAAATTGTCTTGATTCTTTTTGATGGTAAAATACAGATCCATGAAAATGTGAAGGTGGTATATAACTTGCTCTTAACAACTGGTGCATCAAATCTACTAAGTTAATCTTTTTCTATTTTTTTCACTTTTTTTTTCACAATCCCGTTTATGTCCAGTTCCTGCTGTAGAATACAAATGGTTAAATGGTTTCCAAATCAGATTRCTCAAGCCAAGTTTCATAGAATACAAATGTGCTAAAAATTAATCGATTGGCTTCTTTATGTTTAAATGGTTTCTAAATCAGATTACTCAAGCCAAGTATTAATTACATTTCTTCTTRTTGTTCATTTCTACATTTGCTAATTTGAATATGTTTTTTGTGTGATGAAGATCTGCTGATGAGATTTTAACTTTCTTTCTCTTCTTTTTGGTTTACCAGATTGATGAAATCAAGGCTATGTACATCTTGTGAAGCATTTGACARCTTGTGGATTTAGCTCTAAACTTAGAGGTAAAAATCTTCTCTGTAATTTTGAAATCCCATGCTATTACAACACCTCTTTTACATACATTATGCTTGTAGCTATTATGATTTCTGAGCAAATTAAAGTAGAGGAAATGTATATAAGCATTCCTAAAAGGGTTAGTTTGTTCTTYGAAAGGAAAATCATGAAAGAATGAACCTCTATATATGAAATAATGTTAGAGGATATTGATTATAGTGAAACTATTCTCATTCCAGGTACATTATTCCGCATCAGGAAAAAAACTCAAGTTTAATGTCTCTTTTT